TAAACTAAAACTTTAAAGTTTTATTACTCAAAAGTTTACTAATAATTTTAAAAAATTTTTATAATAAAGTTTATAAATTATGTTTTCAAGAATATATTTTATAATAAATACTGTATATACTCTATATTATTAATAAATTATTATTTTATTTATAAAATACTAAATATACTTTAATTTTCCAAAAAAATTTGTCTGGATTACAGTTTAAGGAATAATTTTGTCTATAAATCTATCTTTAAAATTCTAATTAAAAAATTTTTTATTAAATTTTAATTTGTATAAACTATGCTCTTACTTTAACTTAGGTTTTAATTCTAATATTAATAAAATTTATTATTTTAATATAATATTATGATATATATGATTTTAGAATTTTAGTATTTATCACCGGTGGCAATACCACCAACCTTCTATTTCTTTTATCAAGTTTAAAGATAAGATGCAATTTTAGACAAGATTAGGGTTAGATATAGAGGTCCAAATCTTTGTTAAGATTAGGTTTTTTGGGGTCCTGAATATTTTTACTTAGTATCTTCGATATGTGTTAGCTAGTAGATTTTTAAGATATAGTATCCCTGGTGATATTACTACTGGTGATAAATAGCAATATTCATAATTTTATTATATTTGCAAATCATCAAATCATTCTATACAATTTAAAAGTAATAAAACTTTATAGCAAGATTAAAATTATAACTAATATAAGGTTACTATATTAACTTTTAAAAAAATATTTGTTAGTGTGCAGGAATATTTTAATAGACAAGATTTTGAGTAATATGCAGGTTTTTAAAAAATTTGATTTTTATATTGCATCTCTTAATAGTGAAGAAATCTAATTGATATATCTTTTACTGTCCTAATAGTTTTGTATTTAAAAACCATATGAAAAAGATTTATAATATCAATAAAAGACTAATTAATTGACAACTTTTGTTTTGAATTTTTAGGTCAAAGTGTCTTCTTTATAATTTTGTTAACTTTTTTGTTTTATTTTGCTTTTTTTTAGGAGATTGATATTTTTTTAATGAAAGAATTATTATGAACCTATGTGTGTACATTAATTTAGAAGTGAAATAGAAGATAATAAACATCTGTAATAAATTATAATAAATACAAGGCCATATTTTAGCTAATAAGCATTTAGTATTTTAGTAGAATATATAATTTTTGGCAGTACTCATATTATGATAGATCATATTTATTCAATAACGGCCCTCATGTATTAATTATATTTGATTTCTACTTGCGTAAGAATATGAATTATGACAAGACCACAAAATATATTACAATCAGAATAAGCAAGAATAAACAAAGAATGTGCTAAACAATAATGCAGAAGGGTTGGTAGAATGGGACTAGTGTGGCAATATATTAAATTATTTGTAAAATTTATATCGCCTCTAAGTTTTGTGATTTTTTGTTAAATTTATAGGTTGTCTAGTCAGGTGAAACATAGAGGTTTCACCACAGATAAATAGCGAAAACGAGTCTTGGCTTTCGCCAAAAAAAATTAAAATGGCGTAAGGTGGCGAAACTGGCGAAACTGGCGAAACTGCTGAAAGGTAGCGAAACTAACAAAACTAGTGAAAGATAGTAAAATTAATAAAAAAAGACAGGAATAAAAAGGCAATTAAAGATAATTAAAGCTTTTTTATATAATAACTAGGTTCAAACTAAAATAATATCAGTATTGATGCAGTTATTTATCATGACGGATTAAAATGAAATCATATTAATATTAAATGAGTGATAGTAAAAATACAAATTTTTGAGGTGCATCTTTTTAGGGTTAAAGTTAGGATTTAGGTGTAGAATTTATTATAAGTGGGTTTTAGAGAGCCAAATAAAACCCTCATTTCATTTTAATACAAGTTCATTATGGTCTGTGATATTTATCCCTGCTTCTCAATCTTATTAGTGTTTCCAGTAGTTTTCTCTTATGAATTATAATCTGGTTCATCAAATAATTCACAACTTTTCTGTGAGATTCTAGATTTATATTATCTAAGTTGGAAATCTGGAATATCTGTTGAGTTTATAGGTTTGGGATGATTTGAACGTATATTTGTATATTCTACGTGAGGTGATTATGTCAACGTTTTTTGAAGGTTCAGACTCAAGTTTTTTTATATTTAAATCAGCTTCTTTGAAAATATTTATACAGTGCTCTTGTGTTAGCATGCATAAAACCATTTGCTGAAGGACGTTTAGATGCAACTGCATTCATACATTGGCTTGCCAACTCAACATAAACGTCCGGTGTTTCTTTTGCAAATTTCGGATGAAGACCTCCGCATATTCCTTGAACAAGAGATTCTTTAAATTCTTCTCGATCATCTTTTCCAGATGAAATTTCCCACATAATAATACCAAACGAGTAGATGTCAGCTGCTGTTGTCAATGGTTTATTACAAAAACTTTCTGGAGCCATATTATGGATAATTCCATAAGTAGTATTAGATTCTTTATTAACCGGGTTGATAGTCCTAAATCTGCAATCTAAACATTATTTGACTTATCCAGCCAAATATTGCCACTATGTAAATCCTTGTGAATAAGATCTTTTGAATGAATTCTCTCGAGATCAAAGACAACATAAAGTAATATATTGAATCTGTCTCTCCATTTCACTTGAGCTACTAAGTGTAGATTTTCACTTCAATAACAAGAATATAGTCTTTAGAATTATCAACTTTTGATATACCATAAAATTTTAAAAATGTTGCATTTCATTATTCATAGAACAATATGCATTTAGCTTTGTTATTAGAAAAGTATATCAGATAATTAATAATCAAAAAATTTACTGCCAATTCTTGAAATAGCGGGCATGGGCGTTGTTTCGAAAATAGCGCCCCCTAAAAATAGCATATGTAGATTCAAAATAACGCCTATGCGCGTCCCGAAATAACACACAATATTATGTATTTTGAAAAAAAAACTGGGTTCAAAATTAGGCAAGTTAAAGTGTTCATTCGGCCAGATCCAGGTCCGGTTCTTAAAAGCCCAAGTATAACTCAGCAGTTTAATATACAATATAGATAATTTTGAAAGCGAAATGCCAAAAGCATTCACGAATCACTTTTATCCGGACTAGTTTCGGACCGGCCCTAAAAAGTTCAGTCCTAGACCCAGTCCGAACCAGTCCTTTGTGGACTACTTAACATCCCTATTCAGAAAATCTGCTGATATTCGAATTAATGCCCATGGGCGTATTTAAAATAGCGCAGATATTCAAAATTAGTGAATTTACAGAATTTACGGTATTAAATTATCAAAATTAAGTTACAATTACCTCATTCATAAATTCTTTATAACCATTTTAAATATTTTAAGTGCAACTTCTGTTATTAAATTATTTTGATCTCTCCAAATTGCATAAAATACTGTTGCAAATCCACCTTACCCTGTTTTTTTGATAATTTCAAATTCGTTATAAGGAATCCATTGTCATTCAACTTCACCCAATATTCTTTTTAAATCTTCATCTATATCAAATTTTTTTCCGCTTGCAACTAATAGAATTTAGATTTTTGTTTAAGTTTTTTTATATTGATGATAAAAAATTTCAGAGACAATATTACCTAATGATGTGGTTTTGCCCCTAGTTCTCCATTAAATATACAAATTATTTTAATAATTTGAGTTTAATACCGAGATTAAAAAATTATAGATATATTTACATTTGATACTAATGTTAGCCTTTTGTAAATCTATTGATGTTAATCCAATGCCTTTTCGGTAGCAATTACTAAGGGTATACATTGCATTAAGATTTCCCACCTTCGCTGATTTTTCATAATGAATGAACGCTTTACGATCATCTTTATTAACTCCAATTCCATCTTGGTAACAAATGCCAATACGATACATTCCATTGTCATTTCCTAAATTAGCGGATTTTTTATAAAATTTATTTTGCAGAGTTTTTATAGCAATCAAATGCTTTGTATTCATTTATCTGATCCTTTTATGTAGTTCATATCAGCAGATTTTTTGCAACATATAAATGCCTCATATTTATTTTTTTCAACCCCAATTCCATTTTCATAATAAAATCCAATCTGAAATATTCCACCCGCATCCCCATCTCTGCAGATTTTCGATAGTAAATGAATGCCTTATGTTCATCCTTTAGAACTTCTATTCCATTTTCATAACAGCGTCCAAGGTTATATATTCTATCAGCATGTCCCATATCTGCAGATTTTTGATAATATTCGAATGCCTTCTTTGTATCATTGTTAACACCTATTCCATTTTCATAAAAACGTCCGAGATTATATATTCCATTTACATGCCCTATATTTGCAGATTTTTGATAATATCTAAATACATTATATTCAGATTTATAAATTCCTATTCCATTTTCATAACAACGTCCAACGTTATATATTCCATCAGCATGTCCCATCTCTGCAGATGTTTGATAATATTCGAATGCTTTCCTTAGATAATATTCGAATGATTTCCTTATATCTTTTCAACTCCTATTTTATTTTCATAACAACGTCCAAGACTACATATTACATCGGCATGTCCCATATCTGCAGATTTTTTATAATATTCGAATGCCTTCCTTATATCTTTTTTAACAAAATAATACAGAAAATATGCCAATCTAACTCCAACAGTGTACGGAAAATAAGAAGAACTTTGGGCAAGTGAAATGCGTCTTTTATAAGTGTTAAGGAACTAGTTTGGCGATAGCTATAGGAAGACTTTCGTATGATTGGCTGTTAAACTCTATTTAATTTTACATTAATTATACAATTTAAAGTACTTTTTAAAAAAATCAAACTACGAAGAATAAACAAAAAAAGAAGTATATAAAACGTTTTATTATGGTTGTAAGACTCCATCATTAAAAATAATCAAAATCATTTTTGGTTTTAGAGAAGTTAACATAATAACGACTTCTTAAAGATAGATAGAATTAGGCTATTACCATGCTACCTTCTCTAAAACAAAAGGGATTTTGATTATTTTTAATAGTTGAGTTCTACAACCCTATTAAAACTTTCTATATACTTCTTTTTTTATTTATTCTCGTTTTTTAAAAAGTACTTTAAACTGTATAAATAATGTAAAATTAAATAGACTTAAACAGCCAATAATACGAAAGCCTTCCTATGGGAGGCGATAGGGACTATAGAGTAATACTTTGATATCAATGAGTGATGATAATGTGTGATGCAAAGAAGGCATTCGAATATTATC